CAAACATTGGTCCGATGCCAGAGCAAGTCCGAGGAATGTTTGTATGCCTGATGTCTTCGTGATTCTTGCATGTGTCTGTTTATATATTTCCATACTTCGTATCGATGATGAGGCAAGCCCGAGGAATGTTTATATGATTCCAGATTTTGGTCTGATGTTGGGAGGGGCCCGAGAAATGGTTATATGTATGCTTCCGAACTACGGGTCAATGACGGATGGTACCCCATGAAGGAATGCATGTTTAGTTATACTTGTTGTCTTTGTGATACTTGTATGTGCCTAGTAGGGAGGTGAGTGTGGGCGGGGTCTCGTATCTCATCACCAGCTAAGTGTGGACGGGGTTCCATATCTCATTATTAGCATAGTAGGGGTGGGGCCCATGATATGCAAGGCCTTAGGATGAGAATATATAGTATTGTGTATGATTCTTTATGTGCTAGAATGATTATATGTTATTGTTTGTATATATATAGCGGGTGGGGCCCAGAGACAGACGAGGTTTGGTAGAAACACACATGTATACCAAGCGGGGCTAGATGCCATGCGGGGCCTGATGCCGGATGGAGTCCGAGGAAGGGGCAGGGGCCTAGTCTATGTGATTATGTGTATGGTATGTGGTAGTTTGGTGAGACTCACTAAGCTTCGTGCTTACATTTTTCACTTTTGGTTTCAAGTATTTCCAGTAGCAAGGGGGAGAGTTTGGAATGATTGTAGTGCACACACCATTTGTTTATCCTGGGATGTTTTACTCTGATATGTTTTAACACATGTTTATGATATTTTGAGATACATGAATTATGATTTTATGTGATGAATTCTTCACTATTGTCACACCCCCAAATTGGAACGGCGAAAACATTCGGGTGTTGAAACCGTCATTTGTAGTATCACAACAATTGCATCATAGTAATCAAAGTAAACACAACCATTACATTGAATATATATAAAAAGGTATTTACATCTGTTTGATTCATATTTGTATACACCAAAAGTAGCAAAATAAAGACGAGACTCTATATGCTCCGTCTTCTTAAAAGTCTGAGGTGATACCTATCTACTGATTTCCTGAGAATACAAGTGATTTTTGAAAGAGTATCAGCATAAAGCTGGTGAGTACATAAGAATGTTTTTGTAGTGAGAAACCAATCATTGAATTCTGTAAAATGTATACACGTATCCTAATAAAATCCAATATTTTCTAACATGTCTGTTCGTTACTGTATTTTGTTCAAAAACTTTGATTAACACTTGTATGTATGGTATGTTCTATTTGAAAATCTTGACTACCACCGGTATGTATAATATGTTCTGTTTGAAAACCCTGGCTACCACCAGTATGTATAGTACACTCTGTTTGAAAACTCTGGCTACCACCAGTATGTATAGTACGTTCTATTTGAAAACCCTGGCTACCACCAGTATGTATAGTAGTTTTATTATTTAAACTAAAACCATGTATTGTATACCTAGAATCCTCCAGTGTAATGTATAGTAGTTCTATTAATTAAAATAAAACAAATGAAGAATAAAATCATGTAAACAAAGGTTAGTTTATACTATTGTGAGTCGTAGAGCCATGGTTTATATGACCTAGTGACCTTTACGATGTTCTTCAAGTATCGGATATATGACAGTTATCACCCGAGGCATGCCTGCCTAACTGTAGCTAGCAGTTCAGGTGTGGGATTGTTAGTCCCAAATTGATCTATTCACAAATCTCACGCTCTCCCTCCAGGAGACTCTAGTTATACTATGATAGGATTTAACATGTACCCTGGAAGGTACAATTGAAGAGTTGTCACACAATCCTGTATTAACTAGTTTACTTGTAGTTTTGTATCGTTTTCTTATAATTGAAACCGTTTGTATACTTGGTAGAGTATTAAGATTTATACTTAAATAATTATTTACTGTTATACACTTGTTATCTGAACGTAGTAGTGAATATCATAAACTAAAGTTGCCATAGTTTATGTGTTTGCCCGAGTATGTAGTCTGAATCGGTAAAAACTATGTAATGAATTCCCCAAACTATACCCATTATAGTTTGCCTGAGATGTTACGTACTTGGTTTGTGAATTGTTCAGAAAACTGTGTCATTATGTTTTCAAGTAGAAAGTGTCCCTTATGCTCCGCATATTACAAAAGGGATAAAATATGTAAATATTTTATAAAAATGTGGAAATAGTTTGACTGTATCAGTTGCATAAGTTTTAAACTTGTTGAAATCGTTTTTGTCTTAGTTCACAAAAATCATTTGTGTTTGGCTAGTATCCCTCCTAAAAACGTTAAAAATCATAAAAAAACGTAGGGGTATGAACTCACTGTTAGTTGTATGCAAGCGTCGAATCAGCGAAACAGGAAATGAAGACCCTCGGGTTGATGTACGCAGCACTCAACGGGATCCTAACCAACAATTAATTACATAATTGTATTTTATTAGCGAAACCATTTCTTATAGTGTTGGAAAACACTTGTTATTGGTTTAGGAATGTTACCGAGACTCGATCGAGGTGGAAAAGTGGGTTCGCGGCCAAGATTCACGATGTGAAGGAGTTTGCGGTCGTGAAGGGGGCTTACGGCCGTGAACTGCCTCTTGAAGGGCTTACGACCGTGAACAGCCTCTTGAAGGGTTTACAGCTGTGAACTGTTTGCGGTCTTTGAATATTTGAAGATTTGAAGGGTGTACGGCCATAAAATCAAGAATAATGATATTAGATTTGGTGAAAAAGCGTTTTAGATACTTGAAAACATCCTCCAAAGGTGATTTCTTGATGATTTTCGGAAGAAATAAGGGTGTTTTGAGGATTCGCGGTCGAGAGGTAAAGAGGGAAAAGGAGAGTGTTTTCAGCCAAGAAGGTTAAAATGAGGGTGGAGATCCTGTATAAATAGGTTGGGGGTAAGGTCTGTGGTGGGGTCCACCTGGCACCGGCCGTAAACGGGTTTATGACCGTGAACTCCATTCAGGCTGTGAACTGTTTTTTTGTTCAAAGGAAAACTCAAAATTTCGCGTAGTTTTGGTTCCAACTCTTATATAAAGTTCAATCATACAACTAAATGATTTTCCAAACCAAAGGAATCTGACGAGACTCAATAAAATTCTAATTTTATTAACGGAAATCGGCTAATGGTAACAGAAAAAGATTTGGGTTGTCACAACTATGGTTTTATTAATGATTTTAAATGTAATTTTTGGAATGTATTTTTGGGATGTTTCAGTGTTTGGGTTACACGAAATCCAAATAATAAGGGTAATCCTTCAAGGAACAATCTCAAATAAAGGCAGTGATATGAGGCCACAATCTAGGGTTTCTATAGGATTAGAATACATCTAATTACCAAATATATCAATAAACATTAAATTTTCATTTTATCTCATAAATAAGCGATGACTGTTTCAAGCATAAATATAGAGAATATATTCTAAATAAGATTTTCCATAACCCCGTGAGGACGGACCCCCTTGAGAAAAGAACATGAACCTTTCGTTACATGAAATTTCGCAACCAACGGTGCGACACATACCACATTAATTAGAAATGATGCTAATAATTAGGTATTATGATGCTATATAGTATACTATGATTTATTTTATCTCTCTCTACTCACTAAGAATGACTCTCGCATTGTCATCCTCATTTCATGATTATTTTTTCTTCGCACATGTTGGAGGTCATTTAAAGCGACGAAATCACTCTACACACATAAACAAGAAATAAATCATAATATGCTTTGAAACCAGGAAATCAACATGAAAAATAGGGCCCTCGCTAGGGGAGCCTCCCCTTGTTGCCTGTAAGACTCCACAAGAGGGCGCATCCCCTTCACCCTATCATATAATCGAACCAAGATTGAAATCGTTTTATTCAAGCATGCACTTTATACCTCCTAACTTATCTAAAATCAAGATTCTAACTCCTTTGATAATCTGTAAATTCTGTTATAGTAAAATGAACCCGATGACATTAAATTCACCAACATTAATTAGTTCGGTCAATCCAATAAAAAAAAACTAAAGCCCTATTGGTGTATCATCCAAAAGAACTTTAAAAAACAAATCAGCACCAAAACAAAGAAATGTAACTAAACGAAAAAAAAGGCATACATAAAAACTATGAGATACGTAAAATCTGTGAGACCGAGCCGATGTAAAACAAAACAAACTGAAAAAGACCATTGAGACGGGTTCGAAAAAATCGACATTAGTTTTGACTAGGCATACTTGTAAATGTTTTTTAAGACATACACTTCTCATTCAAATTATTTAAACATGTTATTGTACAAGCTCTAGCCAATAACTTTTTCAATGATTACTTTTACCACTAAACTATACCCGCTACAGTGCAAATTATTATATATAAATGGACCTTTTGTCGAGGCGCTTCTGTCTATGTGTAGATGGACTTCTTATACTTATATAAGAAGTAGGTATATATCTTGTTATATAGATATATTTTACCTAGATAGTAAAGTGACCCGTTTAGGAATTCCATGAACCAAGCCCTTTTCTTTTAACTCAGTGGTAGAGTAATGACATGGTAAGGCGTAAGCCCTCGGTTCAAATCCGATAAGGGGCTTTGTATTTTTTTTAGTCATAGTATTCATATTTGAAAGAAGAATAGCGATATTATTAATAGTAATAAAAAAAATAGTAATAAAAAAGTAACCAACTGTATAATATTATCGTCTAATGAGTTATAGTATATTAGTTGTTAGAGTATATTAGTTATAGTTATCACGAATAATGATAAGTCATCTGTTGAATCATCAAATCTTCCTATTTTCAATTAGGCCAATGAAATCCATTGTAAAGATTATAGATCAATCAAAGAAAAATAACATTTATAAGATAACTTATACAATGGATATAAATAAAATTTATGGGTCCCATAATAATTAATAAAAAATGTTTTTTTATTGTGGAAAGTTTTTGAGATTTTTACATTAATGAATTATGTTTGGTGTCATGAAAAAACTCAACAAACAGACGATTATTATAAATGGGTTCTCGACCCGAATTGCAGTTCCTTTTTTGCAAGAATAAGGTAGATGACTAGCACTATGAGTGATATGCTAAGACACATACGAGGATTTTACTAGTAGCATAGGTGGGTTGGCAAAAAATAGACGACTGTCTTTCATCCAATTAATGAATAGATCTTATAACTTTCATCCAAAGTGCAGAGTTTTCATTTTTCAATCGCCACATCCAATTAGCTAATAGGGAAATGTTGAGACTCTTAATAGATCCAAGCCCTGTGCCACCCACATTTTTTGGGGCAATAAGTGTTTCCCAAGCAACCCAATTGATACTTTTCTTCTATAATTTATTACACCATATAAATATTCTTCTGATTTTCTCTAATGTCTCGATGACACCGTCTGGGACGACAAAGATGGA